TGCCGCCCTTGGGTCCCGCTCCTTGGAGCCTTGCATCTCCGCAGCGGAAATCCTGTGGCGAGCGTGTGGCTCCCGAGGGCCTACCGCCGTCTTAGGCTTAAAGCAAAGATGCCCTCAGCGTCCCCTGGCGTACCTGTTTGGGGGAAGAGGGAAAGATGGTGGCTAGAAAAGCAGTAATGCTCATCTTCAGTGTTAGCTGCGAGTAAAGGTATTTAAAGGGTTGTTGAATACTTAGGAGCGCACTGCCTAATTTGTGATTGCCGAGGCTGTCACTAAAAGCGAAACAGGACTTGCAAATCATCATCCTAGTCAAAACTAATGTTAGTGTATCTGTTCTAAAATGGCGGAGAACTCTGAACCAAATCTAGAATACTTGAGGATTACCTAATAGCAGCAGGGTTGGCGTTTTGGCTTCTTCCTACTATATTTGGTAATACAGAAGCTGCCTGTTATTTGAGGAAGTGCCTTTAATATCAGACTTGCTTGTATATGTAGTTTTAAATCTGCTGTACTGCTGGAAATGCAGAAGACTTACATAAAAAGCAGGTTGTGCACAGATTAGACTTTGAGTTTATACAGGAAGTGGTAAGTTTATGGGTTTTGGGGTTTTTTTGCCTGTTTTGCATGATAATAAAGTATCTGTAATGTATGGTTAAAAAGATACAGTGTTCCATATCTGATTGCAGCAGAATGATCACTGTCACTTTAGGACAGCCTAGTTCAATACAACATCAGAAATATTAGGGGTATAGAAAGCTGTGGTATGTTGACATACTGCCTGGTCTTATCTTTGCTGTATGTTTCCAGAGTTCAAAGCTTTGGTATCATCAGACCTGAACTAGACTTTGTATTTTCAAATACATTGTGCTAGGTGGTTTTTTTCCCCTGCCAAGTTCTGGTGTGCGATTTCTTCCTTTGCTGCTCAGAAAGTACCCTGGGGATCCTGACCTCAGAGGTCAATTCTTGTTACTAATCTCCTGGCCTCCTTCCAATAAAGAAGATTGCTGCTTGTTCCGGTTTCTATGCTATTTAGAGATTTTGTTCATCTTTTCAAGAACTGCTGGATTCTGGAATTTGAAGAGCAGGGACTCTCTTCAGGTAGAACTGAAGCCATATATCTTAGAGTCAGGCAAGGTTGGGGGTTTTAGAGTGTAGTTACAAGCAGGAAGGGTGTATGGCCCTATATGTGGCTTTCGTGCTCGAGTTTCACGTTACGAAAAGCTGAATAGAGTCCTCGTCGGGATTGGACTACACTTCAGGGAAGACTTAGGCTGATGTTACAGACCGTAGAAAACTGCAGTCTCATTCAGCCTCCCAGGTGTAAAGTACTGAGGCCAAACAATCCTTGGCAACATTTACTTAGAGGTTTAAGCTTCCTTTCAAAGAGTCATTTTGTTCTATGTGCGTGGTCTAGTGCTGTACTCCTCTACCTGCTCTCTTTTGCTGTGCAGAAGTGGCAACCAAGTTTTTCAGCAATGCCATTCAACTTGGTTCTTCAGTTTACTTTTTCACAGACTATTTCTGCAGACACCATGTACAACCTTTCCACAGAGAGGAAGGGAGTGCTTTAGGTTAAGGTCTGGAACTGCAGTAGCAAATTTTGACTTCTACTTTCCTTCTTTAAGGACAAAGTAGAAATTAAGTTTCTTTAGGCACTACAGAAGACCTTTTTGATTGCTGCTAACTTGTGCATGCAACATTCATGCCTCCTGAGCACTATAGAACTCCAGAACTGTTTATAGTCTGGAATGTGTCATCTGCCTGTGAGTCATCAAGTTCTAATCAAGCTGTAATACTGCTAGAGAGCTGTTTCGCTTTAGTTACTGAACAAATAGTGGCCCCTTTCCTAAACTGCAGGACCCTGGGGACAGGATCGCCTTGAATGCTAGTGAGGGGGATGATGAGGTGTTCCGCATCTCTTGCGAAAGGTAGTAATAATGTCCTGTCACAGATGAAGTATACTTTCCAAGGCTGGACCAGCCTTTAGGAAGCAGCCGTCAAAATACTCTTCTGCTTTGGACTTCTAGTACCAGTTGCCTAACAGTATTAAAAACATACTGGTGTCCAGAATATGCTCTAGCCCTGCTTCCATAGGGTGGTTCTTGTCTACTTCTTGCCATGGTAGGTGCTCTTGACTCAGAAACCGAATGAGTACAAAGCTGTGGATTATGTCAACAGGTTGGTGTTTAAAATTTTCTTCTGGACCTGGTCCGAAACTGCTTCTGCAGCACCTGAAACTGCAGGCACCTGAAGATTGTCTATCCTGAAGATAAAGAGCATGGTAGTCTTAATATTGTAGAAGGACTGAAAATGGGTGCAACAGAAATTACAGGGAGACTGAGATGTCATCTTTGAGCACGGAAAATATTGTGGCTTTGTTTCTTTGAGAATACAAGTGATTACACCTGGAATATGCTGGAATACTGATCCCCAAAAAAGCAGGGCAAGAAGATACACGAAGCAAGTAAAACAACTGTGGCAGATGAGTTAGAGACCATACAGGAACTGCTGTAAGACAGTGGATACAGTGGAAAGGTTGCCAGCAGTACAAAAGAGTTGGTAATTGAGGCAGCTGTGGCCATTGCTAGGAAGACTGACTATTTGGATAGTTAAATCTGCTCTGAGCAACAGTTGTGTGCTGTTTTTGATCAGACAACGTTCTTGAGGGCAAAACATCAAGAACAGCGTGGTGTGTAATCAGTCCAGGGTGGCTGATAGTCTGGGGAAAGCCTGCCTGTCCCCTGAAGAGTTGTTTCCCGTACTGTAAATGGTGGTGTGTTTGTACATATGTGTGTATAGATACAAATAACTTTTTGCTTTTGTTGAAAGTCGTTTTAAGGGCTGGCTAAGGCCATGCTTAGGCATTGCGCTTACCTCTTATGTTGGTACTGCATTGTAATACCTATATCTTGCAAGTGGCTGTTCCAGTAGCCCCACTAAACTTGGAGACAACCTGAGTATATAGGTCCAGTAGCTTCTCAAACCATGGCATGGCACTTCATAGTGTTTTGTATAAAGTGGAGGTAGGAACATGTGTAAACATCGATTCCTGTATAAACATCAGTTCCTGCATAAACTATATAATATTTTGTAGGTGGGAATCAGCGTGAACTTGCCCGCCAAAAGAACCTGAAGAAGACGCAGGAGATCCACAAAGGGAAAAGGAAAGAGGATAGCTTGTCTGCTTCTCAGAGAAAACAGAGGTAAGATCTAGTACTGTAGGAAGGTAAGAGGAAGAGATACTCCAGTGGTCTTAAACGGAAGCTGTGCTTAGAAATCAGTCACACCTGATACAGTGATCAGCCTTAGTGTTTCCTCGGAGTTCAGGGGGAATCGGAAAAGGCTGAATCCAGACCCTGGCTATGCTCCTTACCCAGAAGTTTTGGATGTACTGTGAGCTGTTTTCCAGAATGGTTACTACAAGTATGTTCAGACTGCTCTGGTACACTCTACATACAGGGTAAGGCCTTTGGGGTTTGAATATGAAGCTAGGTTGACATATGGATGCCATGGGTACTAAAAATCCTACAGCTTAGATAAAAGTCAGATTTCCATCTGCTGAAATAGTAACAAATTGCTGGCTATAACATTTAGGAGTTTGAACCTAAATCAAGTGATTTTTTTTTTAATCAAATCGGTAGAGGCTTGCTCCATAGCCACTCAAATCAGCCAAACTCCAAGTGAGCAAAATGGGAATAAAAGTAGTTTGGAGAAATGAAGTGTCTTAGTCAAAACAGGGTTTAAGTGCTTTGCTTTGATTCATGATCCATTTATGTCCCAGAGGGTAAATACTGGATGCAGGTTTGTATCTGATAACAGCTTCATTTTTGGTGAGACCTGGAGGGGGAGTTAATCTTTTCCTGTAATACCAGGTAAAAAGTGTTTAAAAGACTGCCAATATTTTGAAGATGTTAATCCATTATGTCCTTTAATCTGGAACTTAAATGTTTAGTAATGAAGCAACTTAAATACAAATTCTTCCTTGGCGTCAGAGACCAGGGTAATAGAAACTTTAATAACAGCTAACTGTTTTATACAAATACACATAGTACTAACTTCCTCCTTTGAAACTGGTGTTACTAAAGGGCTGTAGAAAACAAGCCAGGAGAAGCCCTAGTTTGAAAAACAGCGAGCCAATACTGAAATCTAACTTACTTTCTTTTACAGAGACTCTGAAATCATGCAGCAAAAACAAAAAGCGGCTAATGAAAGGAAGTCTCTGCAAGCGGGAGCAAAGTGAACTGCTTCTATGGAGGAGATCTGATGAGTGCATCGATGAAGCTAAAGGGCCTAGAAGATCAGACATTTATAAAAATGCCCAGCTATTAAATGGTTAAATGTTTATCTTCTACTTGCAGACTTGTTCAATTTGCATTTCTTTAGAGTATTTTCAGGTTAGTGTAGGCTTAGTTGTCTGAAGTATTTCAAAACTGACTGTACTCTTCTGCATGCATATAAGTAATGGTACCAAGCAATAGCTTAACTCCAGCTTTGTTGCAATTGTTGGTTTCACTTAATGGTTCCAGTAATAATGGATTTCTGAATCTGCAGTTAGACCAGACTTTCTTTTCTTGACTTCTTAAAAGAACAACTCCATTCAGAATGGAACATACTTGTAAAATGTGCTTGAACATAAAGGTCTGAACTGTAAATCTCATCTTAAATTATTTTTACAATAAAATGTTGCATGAAATACTGTCTAATTGAAATGGTTATGTTTGATAAGTTAATTCTAAGAAATGAACTAATGCATCAGGAACAGTTGGATTTAATTGTGGAGAAATACAATCTGGTGGTATTAAGTCTGGACTATAGAAAAATGTGTAGTCTTCATGGGTGTACTTAGCAGACCATGAAACTATTAAAGAGAAGCTACAGGTTTTGAAGTTAATGAATTGAAGATGTAAACAGATTGCAAAATTGCTCTGTCACTAAAATGGTTGAAACTTGCTGCTTTCTCAAGAATAAAACTTAGTGAGAGTGGAAAATGCAGTGCTTGCTGATGGACAGGTTGACTGCTTAAGCATATTGTGTACTAACTGAGGTAAGCTGCCTTAAATCTCTTGAAGGGGAAGTCTTTGAATTCTCTCCTGCTGCTTGCATAAACTCAAGTGGACCTAAGTGCATTTATTTTTTACAGACCTAATGTAGCTTGAGCTGTTTCAAGAAGCATGTAACTAGTTTTGGCAATACACAATACCTGTAGCTGATTGAGAAAAATCAAGCAAGTTTTGTTGTTTGCTCTTAACTGGCTTGGTTCTGGATCGTGCTCTCATGCTTGCCAGGGTTTTCTTAGATGGTTTTCGAGGATGCAAGTGCAAAGCATATGTGCAAGTTCATCTAGTTCTTTAAAACTGCTGTGCATTGCAGTTTATGTAGTTAAAACTGAAATTAAGCACTTATTAGTGTGTTTGTGTGGTATCTCATACAGTGTAGTCTATAAAAACTCTGGAGTCAAGCAAAATACAGTAGTTGAGACGAGCTCTCATGTGGCTTCGTGTAGTGCTTGATTTGGTACCCCTAAGCCATCTCTAAGGCTGGACCATGTGGCTCTGAGTCCTGGTGGGGCTGATGTGACTGGGAGGAGCTGCTGGTGCATGCTCACCTTGCAGTGCTGTGTGCTGGGGTGAGGGGTTGCAGGGCCCAGGGGTGGGCGGTCTGCCCTAACCCGGGGTGCCAGGATAGGGACAGCCATTGCTCCCTCTGCTAAAAGCTGACTTGCAGTTCCTGAGTGTTGCCAAATGAGTATAATTTAGGGTTCTTGGTCCCCTTTGTTACATCACCTGACAGGAGTGTAAATGTAGCTACCAGAAGTCTTATGTTGCCAGCGCATGTGGCAGTGTTTTTTTTTTTTTTACCCGGAGGGAGCATTTTTATAAACGGGATGTAATCCTGTAAGTAGAGAGAACATGGGGCTCAAGTTTTTTTTTTAAAAAAAAAAAAAAAAGCGG